TGTCCCTTGTTCAGAAGATGAAATTTCACTTTGGGGTATTAGCTATATGTGTCAAAGAGATAATGAAGCACTATGATAAATTGATATAGAAACAAGGGGAAGGGAGGAGTAGAAGAAAGAAACAACTTTTTTTTTTTTCCCCTTGTTTTCCCCCCTGGCAACAAAAAGCCATAGTCTTTAAAAATATAAAACTTTTATGTCTACCTCTTCCCCCAGGTTTTGTGGTTTCTGGTGTAGTATTTAATATATGTCACACTGGTTGACACACAGGAATGTGTGGGAAACATTGTATTCAATGTCATGCAATGTAAGAAGTTACCTCTGAAGTTCTATAAGCTGTTTTTCCACATTTGAGAGTATTGGATTTATTCTGTCCTTTAAATAATGATGATAACACATATCTCATTCAAAAAAACCAACATTTTCTGATGTTCAGAGACAGAATAAGGTGTGTTCCTGATTGTAACACTTTTTTGTTGTTTTTAAATAACGCAGATAAAATTCTGCTTCTCTTCAGTTTCTTGTGTTTCAGCAAGGTTTAGTTAAACCTTGCTGAAAATCAGTCTTTATATTAAAAAAAAATTATAAAGTCTTTTAATGTAAAGACTGATTAAGAAATAGGTCTTTATATTTAAAAAAAAAAACTTTAAGAAGAAACAATCAGCAAGACACACACAGAGTTTTCTTCTAAAATGCTCTGCACAGTTCATTTCTATTTCAGCACAGTGAAGTCATGTAAGATTGGCTTAGGACATGCAGCAAGGCTCTGTAATCATTATGGGCTCCAGTTTATGGTTTAAACTCTTTCTACCTCACTGTTTTCTTGATGTAAGCTCAACACTCCTCATGAGGCCTGGCTGATAGGAAAAGTGGATGCACATGGGAAGTACAGTCCTGGCATCAGATGAGACTGAGAAGCAGCAAACTCCAATGAAAGTGGGGATGGAAGTAATCCCTGGGAACTGTTAATAGCAGCTGTTCCTAGGATGGCTCTTGGGGGGTTACTGTCAGCTCTGAACACACAGCAGAAAGTATTTCTAAGGTTGCATACTTGGTATCATTGGAATGGGGGTTTTGCACTTTATGAGGATCCGTGCTCACACAGGAACCAATGTTTTCTTTTGTCAGTACTTCAGCTGAGGCTGCAACAGAGACGGACACGAGAGCAGCTGGTGGACCAGGGCATCATGCCACGTAAGACTTATGTCTAGTAATTTGTATTTCTGTAGTGTTAATTATGAATTGAATATATAAAATGATGAAGACGAGCATTTCTGTGAGATCATGAAAAAGATGATCAGCATTTGAAAAGACTTGTGGGATCCTTTTGCTAACCTAAGTGAGCATGTAGTGAATTCACTGTGCTTACACCATGCTTCAGTTAACATAGCTGTTGTGATGAAAATGCAAGGATTTGTAGACATAGTCTGATTCTGCTTTTATTTTCTCTATTTAAATAATTATTACGAGTTTACTAAATAAACTGAATTACTTAAATAAGTTGACATTAATAATAAAAGCAGCAGTTTTTAAAGAGTAGAATGACAAAGGTTGCCAAACAAGTGAGGGGTGCACAGAAAACGTGGAGAATCTCTAAGTGAATAGCACTGAGATGGAGCACTCTGCAATTTATGTTATTGCTAGGTTTTTTTTTACTCTTTTTGGTTATTTAGAAGCTGGACATCATTCTAAGATGAACATTTAAGGCCTCTGCATTTTTCTATTTCATTTTTGAATCAACACATAGTTCTTAAGGGAAGGTCCAGTTCTCTCTAATAACAGGAAGTATGAGGTATGGACAGCCAGAAAATTCAGTGGAATAAATTAAATTAAATAGGTATTTTGGCATTCTAAACCTTACCTCACAAAATTTCCACTGTGGGACAGTTTTGATAAGTAAACAAACACCTTTGTAGATAGTGAAAAAGTTAACCATTACATGGTAATAATCTGTTAAAATCAAATATTCTAGGTATTCTATATAGGAGTATTGCTCATCTCTGCTAAACATGGTGTATACAACTAGCACAAATCAATTGTAATCCTGCAAACACAACTCTGAGGTGGTGTTAAACACCCATACACACATTCGGGTTAGCATATTTCTTTCAAAAATGACTTCCTGTCCATTTAACTCTTACTCTCCCTTCACAGCTTTGAAAAGTCCAGCTGCATTCCATGAGCAGATAAAGAGCCTGGAGCGAGCCAGGGTAAACCACTTTCTGTAAACTTGTGATTAACATCTGGAAATGGAGAGTCATTTTTGTGATACTGAATTCTCTGAGTACATGGAAAAATTCTTACCATTACAGTAATAATGTGTGCTTTTATTTTGGGAGAATTCATTAAAATAAAATATCAAATCTGAGAGGAACTTCTCTGAGCCTTCACAGATCAGTGAGGATTAAACTTATGGGGGGGGTTAAAACATATGGGGGGAGGTAACCTCCAGTTAAGGATTGGATACTTGGGAAAATTATGCTTGTGCAGTTTTTTCTGTGGCAAATCTATACTATTGTGATTATGTGGTGGTGTGGGATCCAATTCCCATCTTGTTTGGAGAAGTTGGAAATCCATCAGCCCTGTTTAAGTGCTAGGAAAAGAGAATAAAGCAAGAAAAACCCCTCTACTGCCTGTGTTCTGACAGTGCTACCCCCCAATGTGAATGAAACTGCAACTATTCATTGATTGGATGTGGGTGATTTGTCAAACTGCTTTGAGTTTTTAAGTGAACAGTAGCTAATGGTGTTTCCTCCTTTCTTTTAAGACTGAAAATTTCTTGAAGCACAAGATCCGGAGCAGGCCGGACCGCTCGGAGCTGGTCAGAATGCACATCCTGGAAGGTAAGTGCCAGCTCTGCTCAGAGCTGCTCACAGCAGGGACTTGCTTGTGCTCTCAGTTATCCTGCTGAATGACACTTTGATGGGAATTGTTTCTAAAGGTTTATCTGCTCTATTTCTCTGCTTCTGCAGTGTCTGTGGTAGTCTGTATTCCAAATCTGTATATTACCAGACAATCTGTGGCAGTGAAGGTATTCTCAGCAGTGTATTTGTTTGCTATTGCATATTGTTCTTGATTTGTAATGGTAATTATAGCATAGGGTCTGTACATGGAGTGTTTCTATTGCTTCCATGTCCTAAAATGACCTGACAGCCTTGTACTTTCCCCTGGCCCTAAAGAACCTTTAACAAATGTGACTGTTATCCTGTTACCTGTTATACTTGGCTGCTTTTGATATAAGTGGAATGGTTATTGCAAAGACAAGACAATGTTGTTTGTCATGAAATTGGGGAACAATTGGAACAATATTTGAATCAATATATCCTTTTAGAGACCTTTGCAGAGCCTTCACTACAGGCTACTCAGATGAAACTGAAGAGAGCTCGGTTGGCAGATGATCTGAATGAGAAGATTGCTCAGAGACCTGGCCCTATGGAACTGGTAGAGAAAAATATTCTTCCTGTAGACTCCAGTGTTAAAGAAGCCATTATAGGCAAGTAGAAGTCCCACAGCTTCTGTTTGTGATCTACGTGGCATTGTGGAAGATAACATATGCTAAGTTTCTTACTACTTACTCTTTCAGCTTCTGAGACCTAAACTTTGTTATCATTTAAATAAAGTAATCCCATTTTTACATGAAACTTTGAAAATACATTTTTGAAAATAAAAATCATTACAAAGTAATCAAACATCTGTAGCCATTGCTCAGCCTGTCGTAGGTGTCTGTGTGCACTCCACATCTGTTGAACGTACCTTTTAAACTCTTACTAAAACCACTTCTGCTCCACACTTGGTTTTATTGATTCCTTGAATATCATTTAATATGGCTCTCATATTAAAAAACAATAAATACTTAGGTACCATATGTTTAGACTGCTGAAAACTGATCATTTTCCAGCAATTAGCTGATTCTGCCATGAATGTCTAAATTCAATTTGTGCAATTAAAAAAACCATTGTTTCTTTTTCTGTAAACATTTTAGCAGTTGGACAAGAGAATTACCCTCAAGCTTTGGATGATTTTTCATTTGATGAAGACAGCAGTGATGCTTTATCACCAGATCAACCAGCCAGCCAAGAATCCCAGGGTTCAGCAGCTTCCCCTGGTGAGCCAAAAACAAGTGACTCACCCTCACCTGTAACCCCAAATGCTGCTACATCAACACAGGTACAGTTTTTAAATGTTAAAATCTTCACAGTATGGTTTTTGGTCTGGCACTGTAGAAGTGGGGCATGGTTTCACATGGAATGAATACATCTGCTGCTACAAAGGGGTATCTGGGAGTCTCTTTTCTGCTTGGGAGTGTATAGAGTAGAACCCTGGCTTAGCTGGTGGCAGTGATGAAATTCCCATAGGCTGCAGTGAAGCCATAAATTCCCTGAAAATTCATTACGACCCACAGAAGATCTGCAGCTTTCCCAGAAGTTGTTTAAAAGGTCATGGCCATGGTTTACTCCAGCTGTTATTGATTACTTAATGTCTGTCTTCCTTCTGGGCAAGGTCTTGAACTCATTTAGAATTAAACTTAGCTGAAACAACAGTTGACGTCAGTTCCATTATCTTCAGAAAGTCCATAAAAAAAATGTTTCCCACATAATTTAAATATTCTTTCCTATAGTTTTAAAATACTGCCTAAGGGATTTACTATTTAGGAAATCAAAATAACAGTTATGTTGATTTTTCTGAGGTTTTTAGTATTTTCTCAAGGTACTTAAAGGAAAGTAACTGTGTTGTGGCAGTTAAAATGTTACCTGCATAGCAGAGCATTTAAAAGTGTGAGGATTTAGAGAGCTGTGGATTTGCTCTTTACTGCAGAAAGTAATGCAGAAGGCAACTGTGAAATAAAGTAAAAAACAGATAGCTCTTGTTAATGCTCCAAAGACTATATTGTCTTTATGACCATGGACACTTGACAGCTGAGTGGCTCAGGATCTGGTATTACTCTCCTTGGTTTTCTCATTACCACAGTAGATAGAAAAAGTATTGTAAAGTTTATATGCAGAAACAATGCTGGACGCAAAGTACAGCACATCCATTTTATTTCATTGTACCCTAACATACAGATTAAGATAGGAGTTGGATTTCACATAGAGAAAACATAATTTGTGTGGAATAAATTGAAAACAAACCACATGAAATTAGATTCCTGAGTAAGGAATTAGTTTCCTAATGAAGAGTTAAATAAAAATACTCAAAGCAATACACGCCAAAAGCTTTTCAAGTAGGAAGCATTAGAGAGATCTGTGATTGCAGAAACAAAAAGGCACTTGAACTTGATTGAAAAAGTGCTTCAGATAGAACTTTAAGCCTTTGCTTATGGATTTCATGTCACATTACAGCCACTTCTGTGCACACATCTAAAATGAGAAGTTGTTCTTCTACAGAATAAAACAGATGCTCACCTTGTTGTTGTTCCTTTTGAATTAAAAAATAACAGCACAACAGGTCTCTACAGGAGACGTGTCTGGGAATGGCTCCTTTATTCTTTTAATTTCCTCTGATAAATTTTAAATTTTATTACAAAAAAAAATACAAAGAAAGTTTTGAATAAAGTGGAGTGCAGCTAGAGTTCTTTTCAAGGCTTCCTCCTCCGCACATTTCCAGCCATCAGAGGATGTAACATAATTTTGAGAACCTTCAGCTCTTGTTGACTGATGACCTAAAACTTGCTTTAACCGAGTGTACTTGCATCTGGTAAGGATTAGGCATTTTAGTCATACTCTAAACAGATCAAGTTGGGGTATTCACAATTCAGAAGATATTATATAGTTATCTTCAAAACAGCTAAAGAATTTTGCTTGATGGCACAAGAATGACTGTTTCCTTAATACAGTCTCTGCAGCTTGTTGACCTGCTAGATTCTTGTTGGCATCTAGCAGAAAAGGTACAGAAATCATATTATTTGGAAAAGGGATCTGTTAAAATTGAATAATGACTAGTTTATGAAGTAATCAAGTGAAGAAGTCAAGACCTGTTAAATCTAAGTTTTTGAATTTAGAAATAAATCATGTGCATGGTTCATTGCCTCATCTAACACTTGCAGGTAAAATTGGGAAGTCTGTAAAAAGCTTTGTGTGTAGGTTAGGATAATGACTAGTGTAAGGAAAATAAATTTACTGTCTGGCAAGAGGAAAATGTTTAACACCATGATTTTCACACAATGTGAAAAGAGGTAATTTGGGGTTTTGGTGGTGCTTTTTTTTTTCTTTTTTTCTGTTGTGCATGTACAGAAAATAACAGACACTGTGTAAGATTTCAGATCCTTTCCAGAGCAAACACTTTGAAACCTAGAGATAAAAATAGAGACATTTGTGTCTTTAGCCTGCCACCATAAACTGACAGGATCCCAGGACAGGCATGTGCACAGTGGCTAGGAGGGCATGGTAAATCTGTTCCTCTGTGTGGCTGCAGGACAGAGGGATCAAACCCACTATTCAGTTTTGCTGGGTTATGGGAAGGCAGCTGTAGTTGCCTCTTGGCAGCTGATGGTTGGGAACACAGTGGGATGTCTAAATGAAACACGAAGATAAAATGGAAATCCATTACAAATTAATTGTAAGCAAAAATCTGAGAGCTTTGTTCATGCAGACTGCACCTTGGGAACTGCTATCCTAGAAATACAAAAGAACCAGGACATGGAGTTGCAAAATGTGTATCAGGTCCTTTGTGGTACAATCTCACAGAAAAATACAGGAAAGTTACAGGAAGAAATGAAACAGAAAGAAGTACCTGTTGGACTTTATTATAATGCAAGTCTTGGAATTAATTTGGAAGAAAAAGGATGTTTACTGATAGGAATAAAAAGAAGGGGCTTTTATAAAAGTAACATTATACTAGGTGATCTAATTGCTTTCTTAAACAATGGAAGTGCAACTGATGTCATCTGGCTGGATTTATTACTGGAATATTAAACACTAGGAAAATGAGGATGGAGATTACCAGAAATGAGACAGAAAGAGGGAAGTCCTGGGCTGAAAGGAAGCTGGTACCAGTGCTCTGTGGGAGTTGATCTGGGACATTCTGGTTTCATGTTACTGTTAACAACCTTGACATAAGAACAGGTCACCTAACAAAAGTAGGAAGGCATAGTCAGCACACAGTTGGATTGTTATTATGCAAAAAGAACTGGTTGGCTTTTAGGAGACAAATGCAATTCCAATAGAATGAATAGTTCTTGGAAAGAAAAATACACAATGCCCCTCTTTCCCATGACAAAGAAATGTGGAAACCTGGGGACTCTTGACTCAAGAGAAAACTGAGGAGGAAGAGAGTTGGGACGCAGTGTTCAGCAGTGGAGTCAGGGAGCTGCTGTGGACATCTTCTGTAAAACTGCAAACCTGTCAGAAGAGATGATTCCAGTGGAAGTGCTAATGCCACTGTAAGGATGCAGTGAGACCCTACGTGGAATATCCTGTACATTTTCAGTTACTTATATCCAAGAAAGACTTAATGAAAACTGTTAGCACAGTTAACTGTAACAGGTAAAGATAATCAGAGAATGAAAAATCTATTTGTGAGAAAAGAGTAAAAATTTCTTTGTGTGTCTAGGAACACAAGGACTGAGATATGTTTATGTAGAGTCTATATTCCATCAGAGGGATATTCACCACAGGAGAAAATAATAAGGTTTCTTTGAGACTTAAAATCACAAACCAATTTCAGCACAATAAAAATTTAAGATGAGCAAAATATGGGTTTACACTTCTGCTGGCATAAGATACAGAAGAAATGCGCCTCCTGGAAGGTCAGAGGTGGGGTTCTGTGAAAATACCATAGGAAGGGTGAAAATACACCTGCTGTCCTGCTGCATGGTCATTCTGAAACAAGAAGTTTGTTTGCATGTGTTGAAGTTTGACCTTTATGAAATCATTGCTTTTCTGACTGTGGGTGGTAAGACTCTCCTTGTATGCACAAAAATCTGACTCCACAGACAAAAAATATTGAAGGCCTCAATTTTATAGTAATAAAGCAATGTATTCTTACCTAACAAAGAAGTCAAAGTAAGAAACCATTTTATTTTATTTTATTTGCTGTGTTTGAAGTGCGCCAAAATGTGCCCTTATAGAATACTTGTACACATGTGCAGGAGTTCGGTTTTCACCATTCCTCCAAAAAAGTATTTTGTGAATTTGACATGATAGTAAATTGCCTTAACTTTTTCACATTTTTTCCAGTTACTCAGGCGGTCGATGTTTTTAATGTTTCTCTTTTTCCTTATATTTTTTTAATACTAGTATCCACCTTTAACCTCTCCAGTTCCTGAATTCCTCAAAACTCCCTCTACAATTGAACAGCACGTGACTCGTTCCACTGCTGCAACCACCCTGACCACAACCACTGTATCTGCAGCAAAGCCTGGGCCAGCGTTAGTGAAGGTGGGTACCTGGAACTGTGGCCCCTGAGGACAACATTCTTCATCTGTGTCCCAAACACACAGCGCTGTGTTTAATGGAATACTACACAAGTAAACTTACAGTGCCTGAAGCTAAGAACAACTTCTGCTGCTGTTCAGGGGAGCATACTGGGCTGATGACTCAAAGCTTTTGTGTGTTAAGGTCAGCCAGTAGCCCAGAGACCAGCTCATTATTCCAAGAGGTCCTTACAGTACAGCTGACAAAAGTTTTCAGGCAGAAATCTGCATTACATTGCTATGGAAGTTTTTAAGAAACAAGGACAATAGGTTTTTGCAATACAGATTTTCTACTTTCTATCTGCGTACTAATGTAGTTTTGTATGGAGGATAGTTGAACAGAAAGAGTCACTGCATTCATAGTCCACTTGTAACCAAAGTGGTGAACAGCATTGCTCCTTTTCCACAACTATTTTCTTATTGTTTCATGTATGAGCAGAATGCATTGTGAGGGAGAAGTTACTGTATCCTTGTTGAAGATCAGAAGAACATACTCAATTCTCTTTTCTGCACTGACTTAGCCAGCAGCATTGAAAACCCTTTCAAATACAGTTAGAGAGGGATTTCCTTTAGATGTCCATAATGTTTCATTTCAGTAATTTCACTGTCTTCAGCTGTGTTAATGAATATATGTATGTAGACTTCTACTTACCTATGTGAAATTAACTCAGTTAAATGCACAAGGATGACCTCTGGCAGTCATTTTCTAACATAAATTTGGCTATATCCTTTGAAATGACTGGATATGTACCAGCTTACTTAATGCAGGACCTTAATTCAGATGTGCCCCAAAAGAGGCTATCTGTGTAGTGAACAGGCATGGATCAACACAGCATTTCTGCTTTGATACCTTCTGTATGATTAGGTAACTGCCTTCAATTTTTCCCTAAAAATAATTCCAAAGAGCTTGTAAAGGAAGAGAGTTTTACGACTTGAGCATTGCTAATGAAGATAGTGCTGCCTGTAATTTATAGAAGTGTCTGTCCATGCTTTTAGTCTAGACCTCTGAGTACCTCAGATGTTTACAGATGGAATTTAGAATACTGGCTTTTACTTCCACAAAATGCTAAAGTGGCTTTGAACTTACCTGCTTAAGAAGAATGCCTCTTTGCAATGACAGGTCATGACTAGTAGAATCCCTTAGCTGTGCCACCTTTAAAAAACCATTCACAAACTGAGATTTGATGACCCCTACTTGTGCAGGGGATAAGCCAGCTGGAGTATGTTAACCTTCCAAGGACGGCTCATTTGGGGATGTTTTCAAGGGCAATTGTTTTCAGCAGCTCTCTACAGTAAAAGTGCTCTGGTATGCTGCATCTCTGAGCCATGCATAACTGCTTTAAGTGACATCTCTTATGGTTTTGTTTCAATCTTTTCCATCCATAAACAGCAAAGCCACCCAAAGAACCCAAATGATAAACATCGGAGCAAGAAATGTAAAGAACCTAAGCCAAGGGTGAAAAAATTGAAGTATCATCAGTATATTCCACCTGATCAGAAAGGTGAGAAAAATGAGCCACAGATGGACTCCAACTATGCTCGTCTGCTACAACAGCAGCAACTGTTTTTGCAGCTGCAGATCCTGAGCCAACAGCAACAACACTACAACTACCAGACAATTCTACCTGCACTGCTGAAGTATGTGAAGCATTGTTTGTGTCCTTTTAAGAAAAAAACATACACATCAGTTATAGGCTTAGGGCTTTAGAAGTAAACATGGTTTGCAAACATTAAAGAGACAGCTGGAACCCAAGAAAACTTCACGTGGTATTATGCATCACTGTGGGTATTACTCATCATTTAACAAGGTGGTGAGGTTATTCTCTTGTTAAAATAATCCTGAAGTCTTAGAAGCCTTGAGGTGGTCCTAGTTATTTTTATGTGACATGGAAACAGAACATCTTAGCTATCAGATGTGTTTTTTCTGATCAAATGCATGTTTGAAAATCAAAAGCATTTGTGCAAAATCAAGAAAGTTTTGACACCATTTTCACTCAAATGTGAGATAGGTAAAGCAGGAGAGAAGCTTGCAGACTATGTCTTTAACAAAGACATGCACTATTCCTGTGGGTTTGTTTATTTTTCTTTACATCAAATTCACAAACCACATTCTTGCAGTTTACAAATAAGACATAACAGTCATTTTAAATTTGATAAGATCTGTGTGTTGTTTATAGCCTCATCTCTAATGCTTATAGGAGTTCCTCATTAGTACTGATCTTTAGCACTTTTAACAGTGAGAAGTACACTCACTGATTTATAGGTAGAAGCAGTCAAAAAATAAATGTTTAAAGAGTTGCCAGCATCCCATAACAAAACAAAAAATTGACTATCTGTGGAGTTTCACTCTCATCATGTAAGACCAATCCTTTCCTAGAAGTCCTTAAAGTGTAACATGCTACAGTCACACAAGCCTAAATTCAAATTGACTTCAGCTATTTTTTAATGAGTTTTCACTGAGTTCTTTTTCTTGAGCAAGTGAGGCTAGAAAAGTTAAAGCTACCATCTGTGGTTGTATTTATAATTACCATGTATCCTAACATTTGGACTGGCGATGTTTCTGCCTGCTTGCCCACGCTTCTTATGTTCCATTTACTGACATTTCAGAAACATTTCTTCATAAATCAGCTGAACAAAATAAAAGAGCTGACTTATGGTACCTAGTGTAAATGGTGCCATTTTAAATTTTTTACCATTACTTCGGAATCTTTGTATGAGATTCTTGAGTACAGCTGATAAAAATGCATCATCTTCAAAGTGAACTGCTTTATGTCAGTCCGTACTGTGTGTGAACATTGGACATCTATGGAAGGGTTGAACCACAGAGTTCAGTACTGGGGGGTGGTTACTGATGCCAGACAAAATTAACTAATTGCCCTGGCTGGTGATTAATTTGTGTAAACAGAGTTTGCAGTCCATAGTGTTCTTCAGAGATACCATGACAATAATCAGAACTATGAAGCATAAATTGGTATGCTTATCTGCAAAACCAAACCAAAATAGCAACATACTACTCTCTGTTTTCTTGTCTGTTTTGTTTTACTGAAAATATGTAATATGTGTTAAGCGTGGATTTGTAAAAAAAGTTAATTTGTTCATTAGCTTCACAGACATGAGATTCAGAATCACAGCCTCTTGATTGAAAACATAATATATTTAGCATTCTTGTCCCTCTTTCCTGTTACTTGAAGGCCACTGAATGACAAACAGAGCAACAATGGGAATTCACCACTGAATACTTTGAACAACAACAGTACACCAACATCAGCTGCCAGCTCACCAAGACAGAACAGCAGTGCTCCTAGCAGGAAACCAGGTCCTCTACCTTCAAGCTTGGATGACTTGAAGGTAAAAGATAAGAGGGATTTGTCCATTCTTGTGCATTACTGTAATTCATAATTTGTGAACTGTTACTGTTGAGAATATGCCTGGTGATCTGTACCAATGAAAACTGTTCTTTCCTCCTAATTGGGTAGAATAAGATTGTCCAAGTTTTCATACACAACTCTCCTGGAAATATTTGATTGCTCATATGCATATGTTCCAGAACTGACATTTCCTTCCCAAAAAATTAGAAGAGGAGGAATTTCAGACACATTGTATTGGTCACTGTGACACCTTGGGTAAGCTGTGAGGTTCACTTCATGTGAAGTTTCAGCTCAGACAGATTTAAACACAGGAGCAGTAATTTCCTCATGACAATTTCAGTGTATCAGTGAAGAGGTTTAGTTAAGCAATATAAATGAAAAGATGCCCTAATAAAAACATACTCTGAGAGGTCACTGCTATAAATAGAGACAGAAATAAGACTGTAAAGAGAGAACAGAAAAGATCTTACCAGAATTCAACACATCTGAAAATGAACACTAAATTCCAGAGTTTCCTGAAGTTAACTGTGTAGACTGTTCAGGTTGCACTATGAGGGCATTGCATAGGATCTTCTTCTTTCTGAAATACATGAGAAGGAATAAAGACTGTGAGGGACAAATCTGAAGCAGCGTGTGGGGGTTTAGGATTCAGCAGCTGTAGGAATGTGCCAAACTTCAGCAGCAGCGTAGGGACATCTAGTGGGCAATTAATTCCTTTCTCTTTGCCTTTACCAAGATTTGTGAGGGGCAGGAGGGAGATTTCTTTTAGATTTGAAGGGATAAAAAGAAGAAAATTCAGAAGATTGGATTCTCAAGACAGTAATATATTGTCCTAAGTTAAGCCAATCTTTTAATATGAAATAAGTCTATAAAATGCAATTCAAACAACAGCGTTTGAAATCAGTTTTCCAGTCTTTAAATTTTTAACTAAAAACTTAAAAAGATATTTAAGTTAATACCTGGAATTGTGCTTTGCAGTGATTAAAGCTGTTCAATTACCTATTTCTGCACAATTTATTGGTATTCCTGCTGATGTGGTAACACTAACATAAGCCTTCCTTGCAGACCTGCTGATGGTGGTTTTATCACTGACTCAGCTAAATCAGTTCTGAGTAAGAGTTCAGAAATGAATTTTTGAAAAAGAGAAAAATTAGAACACACTCTCAAGTGCAGGGGGTACCAGACTGGGGGAAATAGCTGAGTCATTGGCTAGGGAGTTATTTAACACAAAATTGCTGTGCATTTTAGAGACGTAAAATGTATTGCTGTGACTTTTCATCATTTCCAAATCCAAAATACCTCCAAGTTAAATTCTAGGCTGGCTGAGCACTGAAATACTACTGAGGTCACTAGCTTTTGTTGTGTTAGAGGTAGCTCTAATATGCAGGGAGCCCCAACCCTGCAGTTAGCTGTGGTGTATGTTTATGATAAACAGAAGTCATTCTTTGTGACTGCTTTTCTTTAACTGATATTTTGAAGCATAGAATCAATTTACTCAAAACATTTGCACTTTACTTTGTCTGTAAGTTTATTGGAAAAAACTGAGAACGTTTTTCTGTCAGAAAGTAATTTTGACTGCTTATACTGTTTTTGAAAAGGAAACACAGGTGGCACTTAGGGTGACTGGTTGCTAATTAGCAAGAGAGCCTTTTGTGTTTGATGGGTCTATTGAATCATCAGCTGACCTGATAAAGTTTCTCAGATCTCTCTGTCCTGATGGTGTAACAAAGGGGCTCAGTGTGCTGCTGTTCACTGCTTTTATCTGCACTGCTGCCATTGTCTGCTGGTTTGCTTCAGATGTTTTTAGCTCAGAACTGGAGCTGTAGGTGCATTTTTCCATGTTGAATATTTATGAAAAAACATCATCAGTTTGCTGCTATTCACTGTACAACTGAACACTGCTAAGATATTGGCCACTTAAACACTGAAGTAAGTAGGAGGTCAAGGAAATGTGTTTATAGATAATGCATGCTGTCAGAACCCAGAGGTTTAATAACTAGCAAATCTGCAAATGAAAATAATTTTCATTATTAAGATGTAATAAGAATGCATGTAAGTTTTAATATTTTCATTTTTTATTGTAGTGTTTTGTTTTATTTTATTTCAGGTAGCAGAGCTTAAAATGGAGTTGAAACTGAGGGGATTACCAGTGTCTGGAACAAAAACAGATCTTATTGAGCGTCTGAAAACCTATCAAGATCTTAACAACAATGGGGTTGCTACAAGTACCTCTGTCACAGTGACCACTTCTAGTGGGGCCACAGGTAACACTGGGGAAGTGACTGTGGCATTTCCTGTTACAACAGTAAATAAACCAGTGGTTAATACGACATCCAGCTTCCCTCCAGAAAAAACATCTACTGAACCTGGCAGCAAAGCAGTAAATACTGAAATCATCAGCTCTCCCCTGCCTATATCTCCCTCTCCCTCTGAACAGTCGAGTCTAAGCACAGATGATACGAGTATGGCAGACACTTTCCCAGAAATGACCATGATGTCACCATCCCAGTTCCTAAGTACTTCACCACTGAGAGCAAGCACAAACGAGGATAACCAGAATCGCAGCAGTGGAAGCATCTCAACCATGGAGTATGATGTAGCAGAAAAGGACCGCAAGCTTCAAGAAAAAGAAAAACAGATTGAAGAGCTCAAAAGAAAACTGGAACAAGAGCAAAAACTTGTGGAAGTATTGAAAATGCAACTTGAGGTTGAAAAAAGGGGACAACAGCAACAGTCTCAGACTTTTGGTAACTCAGCTGCTTTGGAACAGAAGCAGTTCAGTGCTGCTGTCAAAGATGAAACTGCTCCTGCTGACTGCTCAAGTACCAGTCAATCTGTACCTGTAGCCAGCCATTCCTTAGGACAGTCAGCGTACACCGCTGGCCAGAATCCAGTTGCCAAAAAGGCAGTTGTTATCAAGCAGGAGATACCTGTGGCCAAAGCTGAACCTCAGAATGCCATTTCTCAGTTTTATGTTAGTCCACAGAGGCAGCCACAAACTGCAGTTGTTGCCCAGCCTCAAGCTCTATTAACTGCCCAAGGAACTGCCCAGCTGCTCCTCCCACTGTCTATCCAGGCACCAAATGCTGCCACTGCAGTGCAGTTACCAGTTGGAAATATCAAGTTGCAGGTAAGGGTGTTTCTATTTTTTTATCACGTAACCTGCATTGCAGTATTTCATAACTTAGTGTAAATAGGTAAATGTGCTGCTTGTAAGATTAACTTAAAAATCAAGCTTAGCCTGTTTCTGCTTAAGGGAAACAGTAGAAAAGCTTGAGCTGATCTTGTAATACCTGCTTCTAATACTTGTTTCTTTGCAACTTCTGTTCCTAGATACTCTTTCCTGAAAAGCAATTGCCTTACCATGTACTGCCTCCATGCACAATTTGATTTAAAGTAGCATATACCATCATTTTGTTAACTGCAAATTGTAATAGAGAGCTACAGTCTCAGTGCTTTATTTTGAGATAGGCCTGTTTGCAAAACATATGTGAACTACCTTGTGTGGTGGTGCTTCAATATATTTAGAAATGTGGATGCCAGGTTGTAGAACTCTCCTGTGGACTTAGAAAAAGAAACCATGGTTATGCAAATATTATTTCTAGGCTGATTATAGGTAGTGAATAAATACAGCATAAACCAAGACAGGCTGTAAATACAGAGGTATAGAAGTAATCTGACCAAGCTGAATCAGTGTAACCTGTTGGTCTGAGGTAGAATTAAGCAGTAATGCACTTCCTAGTGGCATTGTTGGAACATCCCCTGCCACCCATCATGGCAGCAAAGTATTCTTCCAGCTGCAGTGTGTCCCTGGCTGTTGTGCATGCTGTGGGCCTAGGCTTGCTGCAAGCCTGTGCAGCAGTACATCCAGCAACCTTTATGAGGGGTGGAAAGTTCTGGTGAGGATCTGCACCCAGTCTGCAGTGCAAGAACTGTTCCTAGAAGCTACAACCAGATCTCCACCTGAATTGTTCTAAAATCCTGCTAGAATTCTGTAACAACCTTAAGCAGCTTGTCCTGGTATTTTACTTTACCTATACTCCAGAAAGTTTTCCGCTATCACTTAAAATTGTTTTTCATGAGGTTAGACACACTTCTTGCCTTTCACTGGCCATTAAAAATGACCATGGTCTTAAAAGCAACCTTTTTCTTGCATTATCAGTTTTCTCTTCTGATTACTCAAGCCAGCTCTTACAGTCCTTTCTTACTGATATCTGCTCTCTCTGTCCCCTTTTATTTTTAGCATGTCCACTGGGCTCTCTCCAGTTTGTCTTTGTCTTAAACTCTGTTGGCAAAATAAACATCACCTTTTAGCTGGGAACTCCTCAGTACCAAACATAGTAACAGTTTGGTTTCCTGTACAGTTCCCACTCATCCCTCCCGAATACATGTTACTGCTATTCTGCATAAGGTGTGCAATAGATTTTTACATTATGTAACTTACTGTGAGATACAAATAATTCAAATATGTTATCTTCATCCTTTAGGCTCAATCACAAGCTGGAATACAGACCCCATCACAAATACCTGCTCCTATTTCTTCCTCTGGCCTGGTGCAGACAGCACCTCAGATGCATGCTCCACAATCAAAACAAAATACCATCACGCAGCACGCACTTGATCAGACCCAACAAATCAGAAAGGTTTGTGGATAGCAATAAACATTAAGATAAATAGTTGTATAATCTAGTTCTAGGCAGTGCTTTTAGAATCTTTTATGTGTCATCTGTGTTATATACAAGTGATCAAGTCACCTAACATCGGTACCATATTTTTCTGTGTGATACAATGGGCTTGTAACTCCTTCTTTTTCCAAAATTTTAGTCTGTGCAGGACTTTATTTTTCAGTTGCAGATAAATACATTGTCTAAAGACGTTTTATCTTAATGGTACACTTAAGGCATGACTCTTACTACATCCTTCCTCATGCTTGGCACAAGCGGTGTGTACCAGGTATATTCCAGTCAGTTTCTCTTTATTTGCCACTGGATCTAAATGGGAGATTCTCATAGGCAGTTCTTAAGTAAAAGCTTTTACTTATGACTTCAAAGATTTATTCCTTTATAGAAGTTAATTCTGGTTTTCTGGCTTTCCTTGTTGATTTCATCCCTCCTTATGAAGAAAGCTATGGACTCAGATCCTGAGGATGGTAATTCCAGTGAGTCAAAACCCTACCATACCTCTTCCTAAGGAATGCAGGGTATGATTCAGAGATCCTTCTCTTCCTGTCTACCAAAAACAGTCAGCTCTGTAATGTCCCATTCCAACACATGTTCCTCAGCAGTGGATGTACAGTTGTGACTGCCACTCCAGTCATGTTCATATGGGAACTGATACCAACCCATCAGCACCAGTCATCACAAAAGAAAAGGTTTTCTCCTCCTCTAAGCCTCTTCTAGACTAACCTCTATTATTAGGAACATGGAGATTAGTTTTGGACCTTTATTGCATCCTTATCAGTGGACAGCAAGGTTTTTCAACCTGCCCCTAGGGACACATAATTCAGAAACAACTCAAATTCCAAGATGAAGAGGGTCATTTTTACAGTGTATTATGTAACTGTTATATCTCAGCCTTTGA